CGACTAACATGAGAATATTAGGAAGATACGTTTAGATATATATGTAGATATAGGATTATCTATAACAGTTAACACCCTTGAATTTAAACTGCGAACATTCTATAAACCGATGTGATGAGAAAATAGAGATAATATGTGTTGTCAAACTCACTCAGTACAGAACTCTCATCTCTCATATCCTTCATGCATAGCACTAGTTTCTTGTAACACATTATAAACTTTGACGAGTCACAAGCAAGTTTTTAGTCTTTTTTTTTTTCTTCTCACCAAGTGTCATGTGATAATGAACATTAATAGACATCGGGATTGTCATTCCCCTCATATTTCATTCGATTCAAGCTTTAGGCTTAGTACTAAGGATTTAATAAAGTAACAGGATGTATAGTTGATACATCGTATAGGCGACAAAGTAGCTTGGATTCGCTCTCTTTTTGTCTTTCAGGTTTTCATTGCGGTGTACCTGCATACATCCATGACTTCTTTGATCTTGTCGACTTCGTTAAGCTATCATCCATAGACTACGTTCAGCCTCTTCCATCCCACGTTCATGGCACCGATGGCAGAATTTGATCATATGACTAATTTACATAAATGTAGCGTAATGGTCTAATTTGATCTTACCCTAAACCATCTCTGAAAATGTAGAGTTTCATATCAGGAGGACTTGCGTTCTAAAAATCAGGGGGGCAATTTGAATATTCCTTATTATTTGGATACACCATGTCACATCTCATCAAGTCTCGTCACCCCTCGTCACCTCTCGTCGCGTTACGAATCTCTCTGTGGTAAGATATACTTACATCTTTATTGTAATATTCCCATGTTAACTAGCTTTTTATAATCAGTTAGACCTAATATTATCAAGATATGATTTAATATTGTAGCATTAATTTACATTATTAATTTGAATGGGAAATTTAAAAAAACGTGCTCTCATGTTTACAGTCAGTGTGGAAATCATTTCTCACCAAATACTGTAATAGAATTAATGGTCTTTTAGAGAATAAATGCATAGCAATCATAATTAGCAAGGCATTAATGACGTATTGGTAATATCTCCACATTAAAAAATCGAATCGTATCCTATGTAGTAACTACATATCGATGTGATGAGAAATCGACAAAATGAATAAGAGAAGAAAGAGAAGATGTTTTTAGAGATATGTGTCGTATTGGTACTCTCTTCGCATAGCAATTAAACTAGATCTATTCATAAAAATATGAGAAAATACGACAAAGAAGAAGAGACTAAATAAAATGTCTTTCTAGAGATATGTATTAACACTCATTGAAGGCAGGACTCACATCTATCACATACTTCATTCACTGCACTAGTTTAATTTAGCACCTATTATGGAATTATGACATTAAATTGGCATCAGAAGGGTCATTTACTCTATATCTCTTGTGATTCAAGCTTAAGAACTACGACTAGGGACTTAATGAAGTGATAAGATGTTTTGATACATCTTGGATATGACCAAATAGCTTGGACTCGCTCTCTTCATGTCTTTCAGGTTCTACAATGCAGTATATATACACGCATCCAGGACTTCATTCACATCTACGAACCACCGCGTCGACTTAGTTCAGCTATTGTCCATCGACTGCGTTCATCTTCTGCACATCCCACATTCACGGCACCAAGGAGGAAGTCGATCATTTTCAAGATCTGGCCCACCACTCTGATATATGTGTACATCGTCAGCAACTACGAAAAGAGCTCAAAGATTAAGACTCAGTTTAATTATGCCATCTCCCTTGTATCTTTTTGGTAATTGTGTTTTTTCTTTCTGTGAGTGGGACCTGATGTAACACCTCTCGGAAAATATAAGTGTCATTGATCTACGTAGGCAAGTATTATCAGGTATGTATTCCAAAGTTTGCTAAAGAATTTATCTATTAAATCAAGGCAGAATGAACACGAGTATATTTCTCATGAAAAGGTTTATATTGAAAGAGGTGTTGTACTGTTACAAGGCGCGTGACAATAATAAGTCTCATAATTACCATTCGACTGATATGAATACATAATACGAAGGGAAATGCTCAACATTAAAGAGCTACAGGAGAAGAAGAATCGTTAAAAAATGGATAATAAAACAGGGCAAAATGTATTGTGATTATGAAATGCAAAGACATATTTTTAAAAGTATGAATGCAAACAAAAAGAAGAATATTATTCACTCGAATTATTGTGAAGAGAAATATTTATTCAATATATGATGCGATTTTTGCAAGATTTCTCATTATACAGGTAAAAGAAGGGAGAGGGGATGACGATCACTGATTTGACTACGCCACACGATGACGACCATGGTAATGACTACGGTGACAGCGAGGGTGACATAGGAGCAGCAGTGGATAGGCTTCGTGTTTCTGCAAACGTTCAGTAAGATGTGTTCATTTTAGATAACGACATAAACCCAATACATCATTTTAAGTAAGTTTATTTCAGTTAGGTAAATTCCACACTCGTGGAGATAGAATTAGATTATTGTTGATAGGACAACATATGATTTAAGATGGAATATCCAAATGTTTGAAATCTAGGATGTAGTTTAGTATCTGTTAAATCAAAGCGGAATGAAAACCGAGTATATATTCCTCGTGATATAAACGTTTTTGAAACAGATATGGTACTGCAACAACCCACGTGATAATTGTATTTTGCAATATTATACTTCGACAGGAATGCATAGGTTATATAAAAGAAAATATGTACAACCCTCAAGGGTTACGAGAGGGAAAAAATATAAGCGAATGAATTTTAAAACGGGGCAATGTATCTACATTTTTAAGAAATGGCGATTAGGTATGACTATCAAAAGGGTGGTGTCTAGGATGATAACTACGATGACGACCATGCACAATTCACTTGAATTATTGAAATTAATTTACTACATATTTGATTTGAAGAATGGCATAAGTGCAGCCATGATGGAATGCCTTTCGATTCTCCCCTCTCCTTGTATCAAACCAAATAACTCTATCCGAGATTGTCATCTTGTCATCCTCCTTCTGTAATATCGGGTAGGGTTACTTTCAGGTTGATGGCGAGAAGGATGACTACCAGGGTGACGGCGGGTAGGGTTACTTTCAGGTTGATGGCAAGAAGGATGACTACCAGGGTGACGACGGGTAGGGTTACTTTCAGGTTGATGGCGAGGAGGATGACTACCAGGGTGACGGCGGGGAGGGTTACTTTCAGGTTGATGGCGAGAAGGATGACTACCAGGGTGATGGCGAGTAGGGTTACTTTCAGGTTGATGGCGAGAAGGATGACTACCAGGGTGACGACGAGTAGGGTTACTTTCAGGTTGATGGCGAGGAGGATGACTACTAGGGTGACGGCGGGTAGGGTTACTTTCAGGTTGATGGCGAGGAGGATGACTACTAGGGTGACGGCGGGTAGGGTTACTTTCAGGTTGATGGCGAGAAGGATGACTACCAGGGTGACGGCGGGTAGGGTTACTTTCAGGTTGATGGCGAGGAGAATGACTACCAGGGAGACGGCGGGTAGGGTTACTTTCAGGTTGATGGCGAGGAGAATGACTACCAGGGTGACGGCGGGTAGGGTAACTTTCAGGTTGATGGCGAGTAGGGTTACTTTCAGGTTGATGGCGAGAAGGATGACTACTAGGGTGATGGCGAGTAGGGTTACTTTCAGGTTGATGGCGAGAAGGATGACTACCAGGGTGATGGCGGGTAGGGTTACTTTCAGGTTGATGGCGAGAAGGATGACTACCAAGGTGATGGCGAGTAGGGTTACTTTCAGGTTGATGGCGAGAAGGATGACTATCAGGTTGATAGCGAGTAGGGTTACATTCAGGTTGATGGCGAGAAGGATCGCGAGAGAATGATTACCAGGGCGACGGCGGGTAGGATTACTTTCAGGTTGATGGCGAGAAGGCTAGACTACCAGGGTGACGACGGGTAGGGTTACTTTAAGGTTGATGGCGAGAAGGATGACTACCAGGGTGATGGCGAGTAGGGTTACTTTCAGGTTGATGGCGAGAAGGATGACTACAAGGGTGATGGCGGGTAGGGTTACTTTCAGGTTGATGGCGAGAAGGATGACTACCAGGGTGATGGCGAGTAGGGTTACTTTCAGGTTGATGGCGAGAAGGATGACTATCAGGTTGATGGCGAGTAGGGTTACTTTCATGTTGATGGCGAGGAGGATGACTACCAGGGTGATGGGGACTAGGGTTACTTTCAGGTTGATGGCGAGGAGGATGACTACAAGGGTGACGACGGGTAGGGTTACTTTCAGGTTGATGGCGAGGAGAACGACTACCAGGGTGACGGCGGGTAGGGTTACTTTCAGGTTGATGGCGACGAGAATGACTACCAGGGAGACGGCGGGTAGGTTTACTTTCAGGTTGATGGCGAGGAGAATGACTACCAGGTTGACGGCGGGTAGGGTTACTACCAGGGTGACGGCGGGTAGGGTTACTTTCAGGTTGATGGCGAGTAGGATGGCGAGAAGGATGACTACCAGGGTGACGACGGGTAGGGTTACTTTTAGGTTGATGGCGAGAAGGATGACTACCCAGGGTGATGGCGAGTAGGGTTACTTTCAGGTTGATGGCGAGAAGGATAGACTAGCAGGGTGACGACGGGTAGGGTTACTTTAAGGTTGATGGCGACGAGAATGACTACCAGGGAGACGGCGGGTAGGGTTACTTTCAGGTTGATGGCGAGTAGGGTTACTTTCAGGTTGATGGCGAGAAGGATGACTACCAGGGTGATGGCGGGTAGGGTTACTTTCAGGTTGATGGCGAGAAGAATGACTACCAGGGTGATGGCGAGTAGGGTTACTTTCAGGTTGATGGCGAGAAGGATGACTATCAGGTTGATGGCGAGTAGGGTTACTTTCAGGTTGATGGCGAGAAGGATCGCGAGAAGGATGACTACCAGGGCGACGGCGGGTAGGGTTACTTTCAGTTTGATGGCGAGAAGGATGACTACCAGGGTGACGGCGAGTAGGGTTACTTTCAGGTTGATGGCGAGAAGGATGACTACCAGGGTGACGGCGAGTAGGGTTACTTTCAGGTTAACGGCCAGAAGGGTGACTACCAGGACGACAGCGGGTAGGACGACTGTCAGGTTGATGACGACAAGGATAGTGACCAGGATGACGAAAGGTGACGACCAGGTACACAGTAGTTAAATTATATGAACCGTTTTACCACATAACTTTATCAACGATCTTGAAGAGGATCATTGATGTTAGCCATGATGTTTCATGTATAGTCATCACCTTTAAGTCGTAGACACAAAAGCAAGACGATAAAACACCTTCTAGTCTGCCCATTTCTACCAGAACCATGTATTCTCAAAGACCATGAGGAGTTTAATATGCCAACTTCAGGTCCTACACCGTGCACTGGACGGGACTTGTGTCGTAACTCGTAACTTACCATTTCTGGCCTTGCCGGTGAATCGAAAAAGAGTATAAATCATTTATTCATTTATGTTGCAGCGCGGAGAGCAGGATGACTTGAGGATAACTACCAGGGTGCGAACAGCAGCAACAACGACGAAGGAGACGAGCAGGGTTGTAACCACCAGGATAATGACTATGGTGACGTCCCTGAAGAAGAACAGGTAAACAACAATGACATAATTCAATCATTTTACCACATAAATACATTAAAGATCATGACGGTATGCTCTCTCATTGCGATTTACAATTTTCGTTCTTATAATTGGCGTTTCATCAAGGAAGTACGGAATAGCGGTTTCTGTGATCGAGCAAAGCAATATTGGCAGATTAGATTGATTACAAAAATATATTCATTTATATTGCAGCGTGGGGAAGACGACGACGACGATCTGCACGACTACCAGAGTCACTATTAGGGCAACTACCAAGCTGATGACGACCACCAAGCTGATGACGACGACCAGGATTACAATCAGGTAGAAATCGGTCAATGTTTAAAATTATACCACATATTGATGGTTTTGAGGACCGTGAATATTGATATTGGAATTATTCCTTACTAGTGTTGCAAGTCATTACATGTGGAAAACTGCATTCATAACAATAGTTGTTCGCCGATTTGGGTGTTTATTTCATTGGCACCTGTCAGTGATAACTGGCTCAATTTGATCAAGATTGATTCAATCAATAACAGTGGCAATGAATTCATCCCCCAAATCGGCAAACAAATATAGTCATGAAATCAGTTCTTATATGAAAAAGATTGGTTTAAATTACTTGCAAGGGATTTCTATGCTAAGAGAGACTAGGGAAAGAAGAAAAATGAAAAGAACGAATATTCTACAAATATTTACAATGCTTCGATTTAGAAAAACGAAACATAAACAATAATCAGTTTTATATACTTTTTTTCCAGGGCGGTCGGTTATGTTCACTTGACTACTGTAAATCGGGGTTGCAGTATCTAGCCAGGGTCATTGACCTTACCAAGACACACTCAGTGTACCTCTTCACCTCTCCAGTGGACAAGAACTTCTATACTGGACAAGAACTTGAATGGACATGAACTTATTTTCAGGAGATGAGAACATGACGATTCATCTCTTTGTCCTTTGGTGATTTACACAGAATTATACAAAGACACTCTACTCTGTATAATAATTGAGGATACTTGACTTCATACCACCAGAAACATGTACATTTCTCTTATTAAATCTTCCTTGGAATCCGCATTCATCGATGGACATACTACGTACGATGACGCCTAAACATATTGCAGTCCGACTTTCTATATTCTGAAAGAAACACGATCATGTTTCATCAGGTTTTCTCATTTAGCAAGCAAGCAACAAATCTAAATTGTCTCATACATTTGCAACCATGGTTATCTCCAAATGAACACGGCGACGTCTGCTTCGGAAGCAGAATCCTCAGATATGTAAACGATGGAATAAAACAACATTGAACTACTAAACTATTCTCTCAAATATTATTAACTAAAAGCAACACTATCGAGAATCACCTGTCAGAATCGTGTACACAACTCACCAGAGACAAATGTCAACCTGAATGATATGAACCTGGCAAGAGGTTTGTTGATTGGCCTGTGTCGGAGAAAAAGGGCTAGCAAGAGAATTCGACACTACATAGCTGATTCTAAGCAGGTTGCACTATTCCGTCAAATCGGACGGTCATAAACTGTAAACAATTCAACTGAGAAATATCTGATGTCAGAATCTTGAAGAAAACTAGCCTATTCGGCCTGACTGATTCGAACCTTGCAAGAGGTTTGTTGATCGGACTGTGCCGGAAAACATCCAAGATAAAGAAAAACTTTATGATTGTTATGATACTCGATCTTCACAACGACCTAAGATATGGAATAATACCGGTGCTGATCATTTGCAAATGGAACAATATTGGAGCGTGACGGACTTTTGGATAATCATTTTTTTGGATCAAATGGAATGTTCATGAATTACTGTTTGGATCATATTCCCGCTGGATCACAGGATTGAAGGGGAGAATGCAGAGACTGAACCGTGAGATGTCGGGGCAAGTGAAGGTTAGCCTGTAAACAATACAACAATATCACTTCTGATCTTAATGGAGCTCTGAAATTTACTGAGATGTGTCAAAGTTGAGTTTGAGTTAAGTTTAAAATTAAAAAAACTATAACATTTACACATAGGCTTAATTAATATAAATGTAGTGTAAGGGCCTAATTTGAATCTGACCCTAACCCATCTCAGAAAATGTCGAGCTCTATATCAGGAAGATTGTTGCGTTGTAGAAAATCTATGAAGTGTCCAACTTTTCGAATTTGACACGTTTCGTATCGAATCCTCGCGGCTCGGCATGCCTCGTTGCCACTCGTCGCATTTCGTTGCGTTTCGTTTCGTTTCGTTGCGTCTTGTGACTTCTCTTCACGTAACGACAATTTTCGGTGAGATATAGTATGGATTATTATTTTGTTGGTGAATATATGATAGATTATCGCCGTTATATTTGATTTAAGTTTAGTCTGTGATTGCTATATTAATTAGCTTGGTAAACTGTAGAAAAGATGATAACAATAATACTATTAATGATAATGATTATTGGACAGAGATCGTTCCTATCACATACGACAAAGAAGAAGGGAAAAAATGAAGATAAGAAGAAAAGGAAGATGTGTCGTACAGATAAGTGTCGTATTGGTAGGCTTGCTTTACTAGAAATGTAGTTTGACAATTTTTTTGATTAGCATAGAATAAGAAAATACGACGAATATGAGGAGGACATGTACCTATAGTCTCATTAGCAATATTTATATTATCTTGCCAAGGCAGTTGAATTAGATCTATCTGCATACATGTTGTATATTTATCTACCGATGTGATTAAAATTGCGACTAACATGAGAATATTAGGAAGATACATTTAGGTATATATGTAGATATAGGATTATCTATAGCACCCTTGAATTTAAACTGCGAACATTCTATAAACCGATGTGATGAGAAAATATGTGTTGTCAAACTCACTCAGTGCAGAACTCTCATCTCTCCTATCCTTCATGCATAGCACTAGTTTCTTGTAACACATTATAAACTTTGACGAGTCACAAGCAAGTTTTTAGTCTTTTTTTTTCCTTCTCACCAAGTATCATGTGATAATGAACATTAATAGACATCGGGATTGTCATTCCCCTCATATTTCATTCGATTCAAGCTTTAGGCTTAGTACTAAGGATTTAATAAAGTAACAGGATGTATAGTTGATACATCGTATAGGCGACAAAGTAGCTTGGATTCGCTCTCTTTTTGTCTTTCAGGATTTCATTGCGGTGTACCTGCATACATCCATGACTTCTTTGATCTTGTCGACTTCGTTAAGCTATCATCCATAGACTACGTTCAGCCTCTTCACATCCCACGTTCATGGCACCGATGGCAGAATTTGATCATATGACTAATTTACATAAATGTAGCGTAATGGTCTAATTTGATCTTACCCTAAACCATCTCTGAAAATGTAGAGTTTCATATCAGGAGGACTTGCGTTCTAAAAATCAGGGGGGCAATTTGAATATTCCTTATTATATTTGGATACACCATGTCACATCTCATCAAGTCTCGTCACCTCTCGTCGCGTTACGAATCTCTCTGTGGTAAGATATACTTACATCTTTATTGTAATATTCCCATGTTAACTAGCTTTTTATAATCAGTTAGACCTAATATTATCAAGATATGATTTGATATTGTAGCATTAATTTACATTATTAATTTGAATGGGAAATTAAAAAAAACGTGCTCTCATGTTTACAGTCAGTGTGGAAATCATTTCTCACCAAATACTGTAATAGAATTAATGGTCTTTTAGAGAATAAATGCATAGCAATCATAATTAGCAAGGCATTAATGACGTATTGGTAATATCTCCACATTAAAAAATCGAATCGTATCCTATGTAGTAACTACATATCGATGTGATGAGAAATCGACAAAATGAATAAGAGAAGAAAGAGAAGATGTTTTTAGAGATATGTGTCGTATTGGTACTCTCTTCGCATAGCAATTAAACTAGATCTATTCATAAAAATATGAGAAAATACGACAAAGAAGAAGAGACTAAATAAAATGTCTTTCTAGAGATTATGTCGTAACACTTATTGAAGGCAGGACTCACATCTATCACATACTTCATTCACTGCACTAGTTTAATTTAGCACCTATTATGGAATTATGACATTAAATTGGACTCAGAAGGGTCATTTACTCTATATCTCTTGTGATTCAAGCTTAAGAACTACGACTAGGGACTTAATGAAGTGATAAGATGTTTTGATACATCTTGGATATGACCAAATAGCTTGGACTCGCTCTCTTCATGTCTTTCAGGTTCTACAATGCAGTATATATACACGCATCCAGGACTTCATTCACCTCTACGAACCACCGCGTCGACTTCGTTTAGCTACTGTCCATCGACTGCGTTCACCTTCTTCACATCCCACATTCACGGCACCAAGGAGGAAGGCGATCATTTTCAAGATCTGGCCCACCACTCTGATATAATTATGTGTACATCGTCAGCAACTACGAAAAGAGCTCAAAGATTAAGACTCAGTTCAATTATGCCATCTCCCTTGTATCTTTTTGGTAATTGTGTTTTTTATTTCTGTGAGTGGGACCTGATGCAACACCTCGGAAAATATAAGTGTCATTGATCTACGTAGGCAAGTATTATCAGGTATGTATTCCAAAGTTTGCTAAAGAATTTATCTATTAAATCAAGGCAGAATGAACACGAGTATATTTCTCATGAAAAAGTTTATATTGAAAGAGGTGTTGTACTGTTACAAGGCGCGTGACAATAATAAGTCTCATAATTACCATTCGACTGATATGAATACATAATACGAAGGGAAATGCTCAACATTAAAGAGCTACAGGAGAAGAAGAATCGTTAAAAAATGGATAATAAAACAGGGCAAAATGTATTGTGATTATGAAATGCAAAGACATATTTTTAAAAGTATGAATGCAAACAAAAAGAAGAAAATTATTCACTCGAATTATTGTGAAGAGAAATATTTATTCAATATATGATGCGATTTTTGCAAGATTTCTCATTGTACAGGTGAAAGAAGGGAGAGGGGATGACGATCACTGATTTGACTACGCCACACGATGACGACCATGGTAATGACTACGGTGACAGCGAGGGTGACATAGGAGCAGCAGTGGATAGGCTTCGTGTTTCTGCAAACGTTCAGTAAGATGTGTTCATTTTAGATAACGACATAAACCCAATACATCATTTTAAGTAAGTTTATTTCAGTTAGGTAAATTCCACACTCGTGGAGATAGAATTAGATTATTGTTGATAGGACAACATATGATTTAAGATGGAATATCCAAATGTTTGAAATCTAGGATGTAGTTTAGTATCTGTTAAATCAAAGCGGAATGAAAACCGAGTATATATTCCTCGTGATATAAACGTTTTTGAAACAGATATGGTACTGCAACAACCCACGTGATAATTGTATTTTGCAATATTATACTTCGACAGGAATGCATAGGTTATATAAAAGAAAATATGTACAACCCTCAAGGGTTACGAGAGGGAAAAAATATAAGCGAATGAATTTTAAAACGGGGCAATGTATCTACATTTTTACGAAATGGCGATTAGGTATGACTATCAAAAGGGTGGTGTCTAGGATGATAACTACGATGACGACCATGCACAATTCACTTGAATTATTGAAATTAATTTACTACATATTTGATTTGAAGAATGGCATAAGTGCAGCCATGATGGAATGCCTTTCGATTCTCCCCTCTCCTTGTATCAAACCAAATAACTCTATCCGAGATTGTCATCTTGTCATCCTCCTTCTGTAATATCGGGTAGGGTTACTTTCAGGTTGATGGCGAGGAGGATGACTACCAGGGTGACGGCGGGGAGGGTTACTTTCAGGTTGATGGCGAGAAGGATGACTACCAGGGTGATGGCGAGTAGGGTTACTTTCAGGTTGATAACGAGAAGGATGACTACCAGGGTGACGACGAGTAGGGTTACTTTCAGGTTGATGGCGAGGAGGATGACTACTCTAGGGTGACGGCGGGTAGGGTTACTTTCAGGTTGATGGCGAGGAGGATGACTACTACGGTGACGGCGGGTAGGGTTACTTTCAGGTTGATGGCGAGAAGGATGACTACAAGGGTGATGGCGAGTAGGGTTACTTTCAGGTTGATGGCGAGAAGGATGACTACCAGGGTGACGGCGGGTAGTGTTACTTTCAGGTTGATGGAGAGAAGGATGACTATCAGGTTGATGGCGAGTAGGGTTACTTTCAGGTTGATGGCGAGAAGGATGACTACCAGGGTGATGGCGAGTAGGGTTACTTTCAGGTTGATGGCGAGGAGGATGACTACCAGGGTGACGGCGTGTACTTTCAGGGTGATGGCGAGAAGGATGACTACCAGGGTGACGGCGGGTAGGGTTACTTTCAGGTTGATGGCGAGAAGGATAGACAACCAGGGTGACGACGGGTAGGGTTACTTTCAGGTTGATGGCGAGAAGGATGACTACCAGGGTGATGGCGAGTAGGGTTACTTTCAGGTTGATGGCGAGAAGGATGACTACCAGGGTGACGACGAGTAGGGTTACTTTCAGGTTGATGGCGAGGAGGATGACTACTCTAGGGTGACGGCGGGTAGGGTTACTTTCAGGTTGATGGCGAGGAGGATGACTACTACGGTGACGGCGGGTAGGTTACTTTCAGGTTGATGGCGAGAAGGATGACTACAAGGGTGATGGCGAGTAGGGTTACTTTCAGGTTGATGGCGAGAAGGATGACTACCAGGGTGACGGCGGGTAGTGTTACTTTCAGGTTGATGGAGAGAAGGATGACTATCAGGTTGATGGCGAGTAGGGTTACTTTCAGGTTGATGGCGAGAAGGATGACTACCAGGGTGACGGCGAGTAGGGTTACTTTCAGGTTGATGGCGAGGAGGATGACTACCAGGGTGACGGCGTGTACTTTCAGGGTGATGGCGAGAAGGATGACTACCAGGGTGACGGCGGGTAGGGTTACTTTCAGGTTGATGGCGAGAAGGATAGACAACCAGGGTGACGACGGGTAGGGTTACTTTCAGGTTGATGGCGAGAAGGATGACTACCAGGGTGATGGCGAGTAGGGCTACTTTCAGGTTGATGGCGAGAAGGATGACTACCAGGGTGACAAAAGGTAGGGTTACTTTCAGGTTGATGGCGAGAAGGATGACTACCAGGGTGATGGCGGGTAGGGTTACTTTCAGGTTGATGGCGAGAAGGATGACTATCAGGTTGATGGCGAGAAGGTTACTTTCAGGTTGATGGCGAAAAGGATCGCGAGAAGGATGACTACCAGGGCGACGGCGGGTAGGGTTACTTTCAGGTTGATGGCGAGAAGGATGACTACCAGGGTGACGGCGTGTAGGGTTACTTTCAGGTTGATGGCGAGGAGGATGACTACCAGTTTGATGGCGACTAGGGTTACTTTCAGGTTGATGGCGAGGAGGATGACTACAAGGGTGACGGCGGGTAGGGTTACTTTCATGTTGATGGTGAGAAGGATGACTGTCAGGGTGATGGCGAGTAGGGTTATTTTCAGGTTGATGGCGAGAAGGATGACTACCAGGGTGACGACGGGTAGGGTTACTTTCAGGTTGATGGCGAGAAGGATGACTACCAGGGCGATGGCGAGTAGGGTTACTTTCAGGTTGATGGCGAGAAGGATGACTACCAGGGTGATGGCGGGTAGGGTTACTTTCAGGTTGATGGCGAGAAGGATGACTACCTGGGCGATGGCGAGTAGGGTTACTTTCAGGTTGATGGCGAGAAGGATGACTATCAGGTTGATGGCGAGTAGGGTTACTTTCAGGTTGATGGCGAGAAGGATCGCGAGAAGGATGACTACCAGGGTGAGAAGGATGACTATCAGGTTGATGGCGAGTAGGGTTACTTTCAGGTTGATGGCGAGAAGGATGACTACCAGGGTGATGGCGAGTAGGGTTACTTTCAGGTTGATGGCGAGAAGGATGACTATCAAGTTGATGGCGAGTAGGGTAACTTTCATGTTGATGGCGAGGAGGATGACTACCAGGGTGATGGGGACTAGAGTTACTTTCAGGTTGATGGCGAGGAGGATGACTACAAGGGTGACGACGGGTAGGGTTACTTTCAGGTTGATGGCGAGGAGAATGACTACCAGGGTGACGGCGGGTAGGGTTACTTTCAGGTTGATGGCGACGAGAATGACTACCAGGGAGACGGCGGGTAGGGTTACTTTCAGGTTGATGGCGAGAAGGATGACTACCACGGTGATGGCGGGTAGGGTTACTTTCAGGTTGATGGCGAGAAGGATAGACTAGCAGGGTGACGACGGGTAGGGTTACTTTAAGGTTGATGGCGACGAGAATGGCTACCAGGGAGACGGCGGGTAGGGTTACTTTCAGGTTGATGGCGAGTAGGGTTACTTTCAGGTTGATGGCGAGAAGGATGACTACCAGGGTGATGGCGGGTAGGGTTACTTTCAGGTTGATGGCGAGAAGGATGACTACCAGGGTGACGGCGGGTAGGGTTACTTTCAGGTCGATGGCGAGAAGGATGACTACCAGGGTGACGTCGGGTAGGGTTACTTTCAGGTTGACGGCGAGAAGGATAACTACCAGGGTGACGGCGAGTAGGGTTACATTCAGGTTGATGGCGAGAAGGATGACTACAAGGGTGACGGCGGGTAGGGTGACTGTCAGGTTGATGACGACAATGATAGTCTCCAGGATGACGAAAGGTGACGACCAGGTACACAGTAGTTAAATTTTATAAACCGTTTTACCACATAATTTTATCAACGATCTTGAAGAGGAACATTGATGTTAGTCATGATGTTACATGTATAGTAATCACCTTTTAGTCGTAGACACAGAAGCAAGACGATAAAACACCTTCTAGTGTGCCAATTTCTACCAAAACCATTGTATTCTCAAAGATCATGAGGAGTTTAATAAGCCAACTTCAGGTCCTACATCGTGCACTGGATGGGACTTGTGTCGTAACTTGTAACTGACCATTTCTTGCCTTGCCGGTGGATTGAAGAAGATTATAAAATCATCTATTCATTTATGTTGCAGCGCGGAGAGCAGGATGACTTTGAGGATAACTACCAGGGTGATGACCAGCAGCAACATCAGGGACGATGTCGACCTACCAGGTTGATATCAACGAAGGAGACGAGCAGGGCGGTCACGACCAGGATAATGACTATGCTGACGTCCCTGAAGAAGAACAGGTAAACAATAATGACATAATTCAATCATTTTACCACATAAATACATTAAAGATCATGACAGTATGCTCTCTCATTGCGATTTACAATTTACATTCTTACAATTGGCGTTTCATCAAGGAGGTACGGAATAGCGGTTTCTGTGATCGACCGAAGCAATATTGGCAGATTAGATTGATTACAAAAATATATTCATTTATATTGCAGCGTGGGGAAGACGACGACGACGATGGACTGGACGACTACCAGAGTCACTACCAGGGCGACTACCAAGCTGATGACAACGACCAGGATTACAATGAGGTAGGAATCGGTCAATTTTTAAAATTATATCACATATTGATTGTTTTGAGGACCGTGAATATTGATATTAAAATTAATCTTTGCTGTTGTTGCAAGTCATTTCATGTGGAAAACTGAATTCATAACAATATTTTTTTCGCCGATTTTGGTGTTTATATTCTTGGCACCTGTCAGTGATAGCTTGCTCAATTTGATGAAGATTGATTTAATCAATAACAGTGGCAATGAATTCATCCCCCAAATCGGCAAAAGAATATTGTCATGAAATCAGTTCTTATATGAAAAAGATTGGTTTAAATTATTTGCATGGGATTTCTATGCTAAGAGAGACTAGGGAAAGAAGAAAAATAAAAGGAACGAGTATTCTGCATATATTTACAATGCTTCAGTTTAGAAAAACAAAACATAAACAATAATCAGTTCTATATACTTTTTGTTTTCCAGTGCTGTCTACGATGTTCACCTGACTGCTCTAAATCGGGGTTGCAGTATCTAGCCAGGGTCATTGACCTTACCAAAACACACTCAGTGTACCTCTTCACCTCGCCAGTGGACAAGAACTTCTATACTGGACAAAAACTTGAATGGACATGAAACTTATTTTCAGGAGATGAGAACATGACGATCCATCTCGTTGTCTATTGGTGATTTGCAAAGAATTATACAAAGACACTCTACTCTGTATAATAATTGAGGAGGCTTGATTTCATTCCACCAGAAACCTGTAAATTTCTCTGATCAAATCTTCCTTGGAATCCTCATTCATCGATGGACATACTACGTACGATGATGCCTAAACATGTTGCAGTCCGACTTTCTATATTCTGAAAGAAACACAATCATGTTTCATCAGGTTTTCTCATTTAGCAAGCAAGCAAGCAATCTAAATTGTCTCATAAATTTGCAATCATGGTTATCTCCAAATGAACACGGCGACGTCTGCTTCGGAAGCAGAATCTCCATATATGTAAACGATGGAATAAAACAACATTGAACTACTAAACTATTCTCTCAAATATTATTAACTAAAAGCAACACTATCGAGAATCACCTGTCAGAATCGTGTACACAACTCATCAGAGACAAATGTCAACCTGACTGATACGAACCTGGCAAGAGGTTTGTTGATTGGTCTGTGTCGGAAAAAAAGGGCTTGCAAGAGAATTCGACCCTACATAGCTGATTCTAAGCAGGTTTCACTATTCCGTCAAATCGGACGGTCATAAACTGAGGACAATTCAACTGAGAAGTATCTGATGTCAGAATCTTGAAGAGAACTAGCCTATTCGGCCTGACTGATTCGAACCTTGCAAGAGGTTTGTTGATCGGACTGTGCCGGAAAACATGCAAGATAAAGAAAAACTTTATGATTGTTATGATACTTGATCTACACAACGACCTAAGATATGGAATAATACCGGTGCTGATTATTTGCAAATGGAACAATATTGGAGCGTGACGGACTTTTGGATAATCAATTTTTTGGGATCAAATGGAATGTTCATGAATTACTGTTTGGATCATATTCCCGCTGGATCACAGGATTGAAGGGGAGAATGCAGAGACTGAACCTTGAGATGAACCTGAGACTGAGATGTCGGGGCAAGTGAAGGTTAGCCTGTAAACAATACAACAATATCACTTCTGATCTTAATGGAGCTCTGAAATTTACTGAGATGTGTCAAGGTTGGGTTTGAGTTAAGTTTAAAATATAAACTATAACATTTACACATTAGGCTTAATTAATATAAATGTAGTGTAAGGGCCTAATTTGAATCTGACCCTAACCCATCTCAGAAAATTTTGAGCTCTATATCAGGAAGATTGTTGCGTTGTAGAAAATCTATGAAGTGTCCAACTTTTCGAATTGGACACGTTTCGTATCGAAGCCTCGCGCCTTGGCATGCCTCGTTGCCACTCGTCGCATTTCGTTGCGTTGCGTTGCGTTTCGTTTCGTTGCGTCTTGTGACGTCTCTTCACGTAACGACAATTTTTCGGTGAGATATAGTATGGATTATTATTTTGTTGGTGAATATATGATAGATTATCGCCGTTATATTTGATTTATTTAAGTTTAGTCTGTGATTGCTATATTAATTAGCTTGGTAAACTGTAGAAAAGATGATGATAACAATAATACTATTAATAATAATGATTATTGGACAGAGATCGTTCCTATCACATACGACAAAGAAGAAGAGAAGAAAATGAAGATAAGAAGAAAAGGAAGATGTGTCGTACAGATAAGTGTCGTATTGGTAGGCTTGCTTTACTAGAAATGTAGTTTGACAAGTTTTTTGATTGCATAGAATAAGAAAATACGACGAATATGAGGAGGACATGTACCTATAGTCTCATTAGCAATATTTATATTATCTTGCCAAGGCAGTTGAATTAGATCTATCTGCATACGTGTTGTATATTTATCTACCGATGTGATTAAAATTGCGACTAACATGAGAATATTAGGAAGATACGTTTAGATATATATATAGATATAGGATTATCTATAACAGTTAACACCCTTGAATTTAAACTGCGAACATTCTATAAACCGATGTGATGAGAAAATAGAGATAATATGTGTTGTCAAACTCACTCAGTGCAGAACTCTCATCTCTCATATCCTTCATGCATAGCACTAGTTTCTTGTAACACATTATAAACTTTGACGAGTCACAAGCAAGTTTTTAGTCTTTTTTTTTCTTCTCACCAAGTGTCATGTGATAATGAACATTAATAGACATCGGGATTGTCATTCCCCTCATATTTTATTCGATTCAAGCTTTAGGCTTAGTACCAAGGATTTAATAAAGTAACAAGATGTATAGTTGATACATCGTATAGGCGACAAAGTAGCTTGGATTCGCTCTCTTTTTGTCTTTCAGGTTTTCATTGCGGTGTACCTGCATACATCCATGACTTCTTTGATCTTGTCGACTTCGTTAAGCTATCGTCCATAGACTACGTTCAGCCTCTTCACATCCCACGTTCATGGCATCGATGGGGAAGTTGATCATATGACTAATTTACATAAATGTAGCGTAATGGTCTAATTTGATCTTGCTCTAACCCATCTCAGAAAATGTAGAGTTCCATATCAGGAGGACTTGCGTTCTAAAAATCAGGGGGGCAATTTGAATATTCCTTATTATTTGGATACACCATGTCACATCTCATCAAGTCTCATCTCATCAAGTCTCGTCACCTCTCGTCACCTCTCGTCGCGTTACGAATCTCTCTGTGGTAAGATATACTTACATCTTTATGGTAATATTCCCATGTTAACTAGCTTTTTATAATCAGTTAGACCTAATATTATCAAGATATGATTTAATATTGTAGCATTAATTTACATTATTCATTTGAATGGGAAATTTAAAAAAACGTGCTCTCATGTTTACAGTCAGTGTGGAAATCATTTCTCACCAAATACTGTAATAGAATTAATGGTCTTTTAGAGAATAAATGCATAGCAATCATAATTAGCAAGGCATTAATGACGTATTGGTAATATCCCCACATTAAAATATTCAAATCGTATCCTATATAGTAACTACATATCAAAGTGATGAGAAATCGACAAAATGAATAAGAGAAGAAAGAGAAGATGTTTTAAGAGATATGTGTCGTATTGGTACTCTTTTAGCATAGCAATTAAACTAGGTCTATTCATAAAAATATGAGAAAATACGACAAAGAAGAAGAGACTAAATAAAATGTCTTTCTAGAGATATATGTCGTAACACTCATTAAAAGCAGGACTCATATCTATCACATACTTCATTCACTGCACTAGTTTCCTTTATCACCTATTCCTGGGCAAATCTTTTGTGATTTTGTGTTCCATGCTTTACCGAGTATTATGGAATTATGACCTTAAATTGACATCAGAAGTGTCATTTACTCTATATCTCTTGTGATTCAAGCTTAAGAACTACGACTAGGGACTTAATAAAGTGATAAGATGTTTTGATACATCTTGGATATGACAAAATAGCTTGGACTCGCTCTCTTCATGTCTTTCAGGTTCTACAATGCAGTATATCTACATGCTTCCAGGACTTCAGTCACCTCTACGAACAACCGCGTCGACTTCGTTCAGCTATTGTCCATCGACTGCGTTCACCTTCTTCACATCCCACATTCACGGCACCAAGGAGGAAGTCGATCATTTTCAAGATCTGGCCCACCACTCTGATATATGTGTACATCGTCAGCAACTCCGAAACGAACTCAAAGATTTAAGACTCAGTTTAATTATGCCATCTCCCTTGTATCTATTGTGTAATTGTGTTTTTCTTCATCTGTGAGTGGAAACTGATGCAACACCTCTTGGAAAATATAAGTGTCATTTATCTATGGAGGTAAGTATTATCAGGTATGTATTCAAAAGTTTGCTAAAGATTTTATCATATATTAAATCAAGGCAGAATGAACACGAGTATATTTCTAATGACAAAGTTTATGTTGAAACAGGTGTTGTACTGTTACAAGACACGTGCCAATTATAAGTCTCATAATTACCATTCGACGTCTCATAATTACCATTCGACTGAAATCATGAATGCATTATGAAGGGAGATGCACAACATTAAAGAGCTACAGGAGAAGAAGAATCGTTAATAAATGGGTAATAAAACGGGGCAAAATGTATTGTGATTATGAAATGCAAAGACATATTTTTAAAAGTATGAATGCAAACAAAAAGAAGAAAATTATTCACTCGAATTATTGTGAAGACAAATATCTATTCAATATATGTTGCGATTTTGGCAAAAGTTCTCATTGTACAGGTGAAAGAAAGGAGAGGGGACGATCACTGATTTGACTACGCCACACGATGACGAACACGGTAATGACTACGGTGACAACGAGGGTGACATTGGAGCAGGAGTGGATAGGCTTCGTGTTTCTGCAAGCGTTCAGTAAGATGTGTTCAATTTAGATAACGACATAAACCTAATACATCATTTTTAGTAAGTTTATTTTAGTTAGGTAATTTCCACACTCATGAAGTATTGATGGCGAGAAGGATGACTACCAGGGTGACGGCTGGTAGGATTACTTTCAGGTTGATGGCGAGAAGGATGACTGCCAGGGTGACGGCGGGTAGGGTTACTTTCAGGTTGATGGCGAAAAGGATGACTACAAGGGTGACGGCGGGTAGGGTTACTTTCAGGTTGATGGCGAGAAGGATGACTACCAGGGTGACGGCGAGTAGGGTTACTTTCAGGTTGATGGCGAGAAGGATGACTACAAGGGTGACGGCGGGTAGGGTTACTTTCAGGTTGACGGCGAGAATATTGACTACCAAGGTGACGGCGGGTAGGGTTACTTTTAGGTTGAATGCGAGAAGGATGACTACAAGGGTGACGGCGGGTAGGGTTACTTTTAGGTTGATGGCGAGAAGGATGACTACCAGGGTGACGGCGAGTAGGGTTACTTTCAGGTTGATGGCGAGAAGGATGACTACAAGGGTGACGGCGGGTAGGGTTACTTTCAGGTTGACGGCGAGAAGGATGACTACCGAGGTGACGGCGGGTAGGGTTACTTTTAGGTTGATGGCGAGAAGGATGACTACAAGGGTGACGGCGGGTAGGGTTACTTTTAGGTTGATGGCGAGAAGGATGACTACCAGAGTGATGGCGAGAAGGATGACTACAAGTGTGACGGCGGGTATGGTTACTTTTAGGTTAATGGCGAGAAAGATGACTACCAGGGTGATGGCGAGAATGATGACTACTAGTGTGACGGCGGGTATGGTTACTTTTAGGTTGATGGCGAGAAGGATGGCGAGAAGGATGACTACCAGGGTGACGGCGGGTAGGGTTACTTTCAGGTTGATGGCGAGAAGGATGACTACCAGGGTGACGGCGGGTAGGGTTACTTTCAGTTTGATGGCGAGAAGGATGACTACAAGGGTGACGGCGGGTAGGGTTACTTTCAGGTTGATGGCGAGAAGGATGACTATCAGGTTGATGGCGGGTAGGGTTACTTTCAAGTTGAGGGCGAGAAGGATGACTACAAGGGTAACGGCGGTCAGTGTTACTTTCAGGTTGATGGCGAGAAGGATGACTACAAGGGTGACGGCGAGTAGGGTTACTTTCAGGTTGATGGCGAGAAGGATGACTACCAAGGTGACGGCGGGTAGGATTATTTTCAGGTTGACAGCGAGAAGGATGACTACAAGGGTGACGGTGGGTAGGGTTACTTTCAGGTTAATGGCGAGAAGAATGACTACCAAGGTGACGGCGGGTAGGATTACTTTCAGGTTGATGGCGAGAAGGATGACTACAAGGGTGACGGCGGGTAGGGTTACTTTTAGGTTGATGGCGAGAAGGATGACTATCAGGTAGATGGCGGTGTGGGTTACTTTCAGGTTTATGGCGAGGAGGATGACTACCAGGGTGACGGCGGGTAGGGTTACTTTCAGGTTGATGGCGAGAAGGATGACTACCAGGGTGACGGCGGGTAGGGTTACTTTCAGGTTGATGGCGAGAAGGATGACTAACAGGGTGACGGCGGGTAGGGTTACTTTCAGGTTGACGGCGAGAAGGATGACTACAAGGGTGACGGCGGGTAGGGTTACTTTCAGGTTGATGGCGAGAAGGATGACTACCAGGGTGACGGCGGGTAGGGTTACTTTCAGGTTGATGGCGAGAAGGATGACTACAAGGGTGACGGCGGGTAGGGTTACTTTCAGGTTGACGGCGAGAAGGATGACTACAAGGGTTACGGTGGATAGGGTTACTTTTAGGTTGATGACGAGAAGGATGACTACCAGGGTGACGGCGGGTAGGGTTACTTCCAGGTTGACGGCGAGAAGGATGACTACAAGAGTGACGGCGGGTAGAGTTACTTTCAGGTTGATGGCGAGAAGGATGTCTACCAGGGTGACGGCGAGTAGGGTTACTTTCAGGTTGACGGCGAGAAGGATGATTATCAGGTTGATGGCGGTGTGGGTTACTTTCAGGTTGATGGCGAGAAGGATGACTACCAGGGTGACAGCTAGTAGGGTTACTTTCAGGTTGATGGCGAGGAGGATGACTACAAGGGTGGCGGCGGGTAGGGTTACTTTTAGGTTGATGGCGAGAAGGATGACTACCAGGGTGACGGCGAGTAGGGTTACTTTTAGGTTTACGGCGAGAAGGATGACTACAAGGGTGGCGGCGGGTAGGGTTACTTTTAGGTTGATGGCGAGAAGGATGACTACCAGGATGACGGCGGGTAGGGCGACTGTAAGGTTAATGACGACAAGGATAGTGACCAGGATGACGAAAGGTGACGACCAGGTACACAGTAGTTAAATTATATGAACCGTTTTACCACATAACTTTATCAACGATCTTGAAGAGGAACATTGATGTTAGTCATGATGTTACATGTATAGTAATCACCTTTTAGTCGTAGACACAGAAGCAAGACGATAAAACACCTTCTAGTGTGCCCATTTCTACCAAAACCATGTATTCTCAAAGACCATGAGAAGTTTAATATGCCAACTTCAGGTCCTACATCGTGTACTGGACGGGACTTGTGTCGTAACTCGTAACTGACCATACAATACACTACAATTATCTATTCATTATGTTGCAGGGTGACGACCAACAGCAACAACGAGGACGATGTCGACCTACCAGGTTGATATCGACGAAAGAGAAGAGCAGGGTGGTTACGACCAGGATAATGACTATGGTGATGTCCCTGAAGAAGAACAGGTAAACAATAATGACATAATTCAATCATTTTACCACATAAATACATTAAAGATTATGACGGTATGCTCCCTCATTGCGATTTACAATTTACATTCTTGCAATTGGCGTTTCATCAAGGACGTACGGAATAGCGTTTTCTGTGATCGAGCGAAGCATTACTGGCAGATTAGATTGATTAAACAAATATATTCATTTATATTGCAGCGTGGGGAAGACGACGACGACGAACTGGACGACTACCATAGTCACTACCAGGGCGACTACCAAGCTGATGACGACGACTAGGATTACAACCAGGTAGGAATCGGTCAATGTTCAAACTTATACCACATATAAAAAAAAATTACGACCGTAAAAATTGATATTAAAATTATACTTTGCTGTTGTTGCAAGTCATTTCATGTGGAAAACTGCATTCATAGCAATATTTTTTTCGCCGATTTTGGTGTTTATTTTCTTGGCACTTGTCAGTGATAACTTGCTCAATTTGATGAAGATTGATTTCAATCCATAACAGTGGCAATGAATTCATCCCCTGAAATCGGTAAAAGAATATTGTCATGAAATCAATTCTTATATGAAAAAGATTGGTTTAAATTGAGTGCCTGGGAATTCTACGATAATAGAGACTAGGGAAAGAAGAAAAATAAAAAGAACGAATATTCTAAAAATATTTACAGTGCTTCAATTTAGAAAAACGAAACAAACAATAATCAGTTCTATATATTTTTTTTCCAGGGCGGTCGGTGATGTTCACTGGACTACTGTAAATCGGGGTTGCAGTATCTAGCCAGGGTCATTGACCTTACCAAGACACACTCAGTGTACCTCTTCACCTCTCCAGTGGACGTGAACTAATTTTTAAGGAGATGAGAACATGGCGATTCATCTCTTTGTCCATTGGTGATTTGCAAAGAAATATGTAAAGACACTCTACTCTGTATAATAATTGAGGAGACTTGATTTCATTCCACCAGAAACCTGTAAATTTAAATCTTCCTTGGAATCCTCATTCATCGATGGACATACTACGTACGATGATGCCTAAACATATTGCAGTCCGACTTTCTACATTCTGAAAGAAACGCGGTCATGTTTCATCAGGTTTTCTTATTTAGCAAGCAAGCAATCTAAATTGTCTCGTAAATTAGCAATCATGGTTATATTCAAATGAACACGGCGACGTCTGCTTTGGAAGCAGAATCTCCAGATATGTAAACGATGGAATAAAACAACATTGAACTACTAAACTATTCTCTCAAATATTATTAACTAAAAGCAACACTATCGAGAATCACCTGTCAGAATCGTGTACACAACTCATCAGAGACAAATGTCAACCTGACTGATACGAACCTGGCAAGAGGTTTGTTGATTGGTCTGTGTCGGGAAAAAAAGGCTTGCAAGAGAATTCGACCCTACATAGCTGATTCTAAGCAGGTTTCACTATTCCGTCAAATCGGACGGTCATAAACTGAGGACAATTCAACTGAGAAGTATCTGATGTCAGAATCTTGAAGAGAACTAGCCTATTCGGCCTGACTGATTCGAACCTTGCAAGAGGTTTGTTGATCGGACTGTGCCGGAAAACATGCAAGATAAAGAAAAACTTTATGATTGTTATGATACTTGATCTACACAACGACCTAAGATATGGAATAATACCGGTGCTGATTATTTGCAAATGGAACAATATTGGAGCGTGACGGACTTTTGGATAATCAATTTTTTGGGATCAAATGGAATGTTCATGAATTACTGTTTGGATCATATTCCCGCTGGATCACAGGATTGAAGGGGAGAATGCAGAGACTGAACCTTGAGATGAACCTGAGACTGAGATGTCGGGGCAAGTGAAGGTTAGCCTGTAAACAATACAACAATATCACTTCTGATCTTAATGGAGCTCTGAAATTTACTGAGATGTGTCAAGGTTGGGTTTGAGTTAAGTTTAAAATATAAACTATAACATTTACACATTAGGCTTAATTAATATAAATGTAGTGTAAGGGCCTAATTTGAATCTGACCCTAACCCATCTCAGAAAATTTTGAGCTCTATATCAGGAAGATTGTTGCGTTGTAGAAAATCTATGAAGTGTCCAACTTTTCGAATTGGACACGTTTCGTATCGAAGCCTCGCGCCTTGGCATGCCTCGTTGCCACTCGTCGCATTTCGTTGCGTTGCGTTGCGTTTCGTTTCGTTGCGTCTTGTGACGTCTCTTCACGTAACGACAATTTTTCGGTGAGATATAGTATGGATTATTATTTTGTTGGTGAATATATGATAGATTATCGCCGTTATATTTGATTTATTTAAGTTTAGTCTGTGATTGCTATATTAATTAGCTTGGTAAACTGTAGAAAAGATGATGATAACAATAATACTATTAATAATAATGATTATTGGACAGAGATCGTTCCTATCACATACGACAAAGAAGAAGAGAAGAAAATGAAGATAAGAAGAAAAGGAAGATGTGTCGTACAGATAAGTGTCGTATTGGTAGGCTTGCTTTACTAGAAATGTAGTTTGACAAGTTTTTTGATTGGCATAGAATAAGAAAATACGACGAATATGAGGAGGACATGTACCTATAGTCTCATTAGCAATATTTATATTATCTTGCCAAGGCAGTTGAATTAGATCTATCTGCATACGTGTTGTATATTTATCTACCGATGTGATTAAAATTGCGACTAACATGAGAATATTAGGAAGATACGTTTAGATATATATGTAGATATAGGATTATCTATAACAGTTAACACCCTTGAATTTAAACTGCGAACATTCTATAAACCGATGTGATGAGAAAATAGAGATAATATGTGTTGTCAAACTCACTCAGTGCAGAACTCTCATCTCTCATATCCTTCATGCATAGCACTAGTTTCTTGTAACACATTATAAACTTTGACGAGTCACAAGCAAGTTTTTAGTCTTTTTTTTTCTTCTCACCAAGTGTCATGTGATAATGAACATTAATAGACATCGGGATTGTCATTCCCCTCATATTTTATTCGATTCAAGCTTTAGGCTTAGTACCAAGGATTTAATAAAGTAACAAGATGTATAGTTGATACATCGTATAGGCGACAAAGTAGCTTGGATTCGCTCTCTTTTTGTCTTTCAGGTTTTCATTGCGGTGTACCTGCATACATCCATGACTTCTTTGATCTTGTCGACTTCGTTAAGCTATCGTCCATAGACTACGTTCAGCCTCTTCACATCCCACGTTCATGGCATCGATGGGGAAGTTGATCATATGACTAATTTACATAAATGTAGCGTAATGGTCTAATTTGATCTTGCTCTAACCCATCTCAGAAAATGTAGAGTTCCATATCAGGAGGACTTGCGTTCTAAAAATCAGGGGGGCAATTTGAATATTCCTTATTATTTGGATACACCATGTCACATCTCATCAAGTCTCATCTCATCAAGTCTCGTCACCTCTCGTCACCTCTCGTCGCGTTACGAATCTCTCTGTGGTAAGATATACTTACATCTTTATGGTAATATTCCCATGTTAACTAGCTTTTTATAATCAGTTAGACCTAATATTATCAAGATATGATTTAATATTGTAGCATTAATTTACATTATTCATTTGAATGGGAAATTTAAAAAAACGTGCTCTCATGTTTACAGTCAGTGTGGAAATCATTTCTCACCAAATACTGTAATAGAATTAATGGTCTTTTAGAGAATAAATGCATAGCAATCATAATTAGCAAGGCATTAATGACGTATTGGTAATATCCCCACATTAAAATATTCAAATCGTATCCTATATAGTAACTACATATCAAAGTGATGAGAAATCGACAAAATGAATAAGAGAAGAAAGAGAAGATGTTTTAAGAGATATGTGTCGTATTGGTACTCTTTTAGCATAGCAATTAAACTAGGTCTATTCATAAAAATATGAGAAAATACGACAAAGAAGAAGAGACTAAATAAAATGTCTTTCTAGAGATATATGTCGTAACACTCATTAAAAGCAGGACTCATATCTATCACATACTTCATTCACTGCACTAGTTTCCTTTATCACCTATTCCTGGGCAAATCCTTTGTGATTTTGTGTTCCATGCTTTACCGAGTATTATGGAATTATGACCTTAAATTGACATCAGAAGTGTCATTTACTCTATATCTCTTGTGATTCAAGCTTAAGAACTACGACTAGGGACTTAATAAAGTGATAAGATGTTTTGATACATCTTGGATATGACAAAATAGCTTGGACTCGCTCTCTTCATGTCTTTCAGGTTCTACAATGCAGTATATCTACATGCTTCCAGGACTTCAGTCACCTCTACGAACAACCGCGTCGACTTCGTTCAGCTATTGTCCATCGACTGCGTTCACCTTCTTCACATCCCACATTCACGGCACCAAGGAGGAAGTCGATCATTTTCAAGATCTGGCCCACCACTCTGATATATGTGTACATCGTCAGCAACTCCGAAACGAACTCAAAGATTTAAGACTCAGTTTAATTATGCCATCTCCCTTGTATCTATTGTGTAATTGTGTTTTTCTTCATCTGTGAGTGGAAACTGATGCAACACCTCTTGGAAAATATAAGTGTCATTTATCTATGGAGGTAAGTATTATCAGGTATGTATTCAAAAGTTTGCTAAAGATTTTATCATATATTAAATCAAGGCAGAATGAACACGAGTATATTTCTAATGACAAAGTTTATGTTGAAACAGGTGTTGTACTGTTACAAGACACGTGCCAATTATAAGTCTCATAATTACCATTCGACGTCTCATAATTACCATTCGACTGAAATCATGAATGCATTATGAAGGGAGATGCACAACATTAAAGAGCTACAGGAGAAGAAGAATCGTTAATAAATGGGTAATAAAACGGGGCAAAATGTATTGTGATTATGAAATGCAAAGAAATATTTTTAAAAGTATGAATGCAAACAAAAAGAAGAAAATTATTCACTCGAATTATTGTGAAGACAAATATCTATTCAATATATGTTGCGATTTTGGCAAGAGTTCTCATTGTACAGGTGAAAGAAAGGAGAGGGGACGATCACTGATTTGACTACGCCACACGATGACGAACACGGTAATGACTACGGTGACAACGAGGGTGACATTGGAGCAGGAGTGGATAGGCTTCGTGTTTCTGCAAGCGTTCAGTAAGATGTGTTCAATTTAGATAACGACATAAACCTAATACATCATTTTTAGTAAGTTTATTTTAGTTAGGTAATTTCCACACTCATGAAGTATTGATGGCGAGAAGGATGACTACCAGGGTGACGGCGGGTAGGATTACTTTCAGGTTGATGGCGAGAAGGATGACTGCCAGGGTGACGGCGGGTAGGGTTACTGTCAGGTTGATGGCGAAAAGGATGACTACAAGGGTGACGGCGGGTAGGGTTACTTTCAGGTTGATGGCGAGAAGGATGACTACCAGGGTGACGGCGAGTAGGGTTACTTTCAGGTTGATGGCGAGAAGGATGACTACAAGGGTGACGGCGGGTAGGGTTACTTTCAGGTTGACGGCGAGAATATTGACTACCAAGGTGACGGCGGGTAGGGTTACTTTTAGGTTGAATGCGAGAAGGATGACTACAAGGGTGACGGCGGGTAGGGTTACTTTTAGGTTGATGGCGAGAAGGATGACTACCAGGGTGACGGCGAGTAGGGTTACTTTCAGGTTGATGGCGAGAAGGATGACTACAAGGGTGACGGCGGGTAGGGTTACTTTCAGGTTGACGGCGAGAAGGATGACTACCGAGGTGACGGCGGGTAGGGTTACTTTTAGGTTGATGGCGAGAAGGATGACTACAAGGGTGACGGCGGGTAGGGTTACTTTTAGGTTGATGGCGAGAAGGATGACTACCAGAGTGATGGCGAGAAGGATGACTACAAGTGTGACGGCGGGTATGGTTACTTTTAGGTTAATGGCGAGAAAGATGACTACCAGGGTGATGGCGAGAATGATGACTACTAGTGTGACGGCGGGTATGGTTACTTTTAGGTTGATGGCGAGAAGGATGACTACCAGGGTGACGGCGGGTAGGGTTACTTTCAGGTTGATGGCGAGAAGGATGACTACCAGGGTGACGGCGGGTAGGGTTACTTTCAGTTTGATGGCGAGAAGGATGACTACAAGGGTGACGGCGGGTAGGGTTACTTTCAGGTTGATGGCGAGAAGGATGACTATCAGGTTGATGGCGGGTAGGGTTACTTTCAAGTTGAGGGCGAGAAGGATGACTACAAGGGTAACGGCGGTCAGTGTTACTTTCAGGTTGATGGCGAGAAGGATGACTACAAGGGTGACGGCGAGTAGGGTTACTTTCAGGTTGATGGCGAGAAGGATGACTACCAGGGTGACGGCGGGTAGGATTATTTTCAGGTTGACAGCGAGAAGGATGACTACAAGGGTGACGGTGGGTAGGGTTACTTTCAGGTTAATGGCGAGAAGGATGACTACCAAGGTGACGGCGGGTAGGATTACTTTCAGGTTGATGGCGAGAAGGATGACTACAAGGGTGACGGCGGGTAGGGTTACTTTTAGGTTGATGGCGAGAAGGATGACTATCAGGTAGATGACGGTGTGGGTTACTTTCAGGTTTATGGCGAGGAGGATGACTACCAGGGTGACGGCGGGTAGGGTTACTTTCAGGTTGATGGCGAGAAGGATGACTACCAGGGTGACGGCGGGTAGGGTTACTTTCAGGTTGATGGCGAGAAGGATGACTAACAGGGTGACGGCGGGTAGGGTTACTTTCAGGTTGACGGCGAGAAGGATGACTACAAGGGTGACGGCGGGTAGGGTTACTTTCAGGTTGATGGCGAGAAGGATGACTACCAGGGTGACGGCGGGTAGGGTTACTTTCAGGTTGATGGCGAGAAGGATGACTACAAGGGTGACGGCGGGTAGGGTTACTTTCAGGTTGACGGCGAGAAGGATGACTACAAGGGTGACGGTGGATAGGGTTACTTTTAGGTTGATGACGAGAAGGATGACTACCAGGGTGACGGCGGGTAGGGTTACTTCCAGGTTGACGGCGAGAAGGATGACTACAAGAGTGACGGCGGGTAGAGTTACTTTCAGGTTGATGGCGAGAAGGATGTCTACCAGGGTGACGGCGAGTAGGGTTACTTTCAGGTTGACGGCGAGAAGGATGATTATCAGGTTGATGGCGGTGTGGGTTACTTTCAGGTTGATGGCGAGAAGGATGACTACCAGGGTGACAGCTAGTAGGGTTACTTTCAGGTTGATGGCGAGGAGGATGACTACAAGGGTCGCGGCGGGTAGGGTTACTTTTAGGTTGATGGCGAGAAGGATGACTACCAGGGTGACGGCGAGTAGGGTTACTTTTAGGTTTACGGCGAGAAGGATGACTACAAGGGTGGCGGCGGGTAGGGTTACTTTTAGGTTGATGGCGAGAAGGATGACTACAAGGATGACGGCGGGTAGGGCGACTGTAAGGTTAATGACGACAAGGATAGTGACCAGGATGACGAAAGGTGACGACCAGGTACACAGTAGTTAAATTATATGAACCGTTTTACCACATAACTTTATCAACGATCTTGAAGAGGAACATTGATGTTAGTCATGATGTTACATGTATAGTAATCACCTTTTAGTCGTAGACACAGAAGCAAGACGATAAAACACCTTCTAGTGTGCCCATTTCTACCAAAACCATGTATTCTCAAAGACCATGAGAAGTTTAATATGCCAACTTCAGGTCCTACATCGTGTACTGGACGGGACTTGTGTCGTAACTCGTAACTGACCATACAATACACTACAATTATCTATTCATTATGTTGCAGGGTGACGACCAACAGCAACAACGAGGACGATGTCGACCTACCAGGTTGATATCGACGAAAGAGAAGAGCAGGGTGGTTACGACCAGGATAATGACTATGGTGATGTCCCTGAAGAAGAACAGGTAAACAATAATGACATAATTCAATCATTTTACCACATAAATACATTAAAGATTATGACGGTATGCTCCCTCATTGCGATTTACAATTTACATTCTTGCAATTGGCGTTTCATCAAGGACGTACGGAATAGCGTTTTCTGTGATCGAGCGAAGCATTACTGGCAGATTAGATTGATTAAACAAATATATTCATTTATATTGCAGCGTGGGGAAGACGACGACGACGAACTGGACGACTACCATAGTCACTACCAGGGCGACTACCAAGCTGATGACGACGACTAGGATTACAACCAGGTAGGAATCGGTCAATGTTCAAACTTATACCACATATAAAAAAAAATTACGACCGTAAAAATTGATATTAAAATTATACTTTGCTGTTGTTGCAAGTCATTTCATGTGGAAAACTGCATTCATAGCAATATTTTTTTCGCCGATTTTGGTGTTTATTTTCTTGGCACTTGTCAGTGATAACTTGCTCAATTTGATGAAGATTGATTTCAATCCATAACAGTGGCAATGAATTCATCCCCTGAAATCGGTAAAAGAATATTGTCATGAAATCAATTCTTATATGAAAAAGATTGGTTTAAATTGAGTGCCTGGGAATTCTACGATAATAGAGACTAGGGAAAGAAGAAAAATAAAAAGAACGAATATTCTAAAAATATTTACAGTGCTTCAATTTAGAAAAACGAAACAAACAATAATCAGTTCTATATACTTTTTTTTCCAGGGCGGTCGGTGATGTTCACTGGACTACTGTAAATCGGGGTTGCAGTATCTAGCCAGGGTCATTGACCTTACCAAGACACACTCAGTGTACCTCTTCACCTCTCCAGTGGACGTGAACTAATTTTTAAGGAGATGAGAACATGGCGATTCATCTCTTTGTCCATTGGTGATTTGCAAAGAAATATGTAAAGACACTCTACTCTGTATAATAATTGAGGAGACTTGATTTCATTCCACCAGAAACCTGTAAATTTAAATCTTCCTTGGAATCCTCATTCATCGATGGACATACTACGTACGATGATGCCTAAACATATTGCAGTCCGACTTTCTACATTCTGAAAGAAACGCGGTCATGTTTCATCAGGTTTTCTTATTTAGCAAGCAAGCAATTTAAATTGTCTCGTAAATTAGCAATCATGGTTATATTCAAATGAACACGGCGACGTCTGCTTTGGAAGCAGAATCTCCAGATATGTAAACGATGGAATAAAACAACATTGAACTACTGAACTATTCTCTCAAATATTATTAACTAACAGCAACATTATCGAGAATCATCTGTCAGAATCGTGTACACAACTCACCAGAGACAAATGTCAACCTGACTGATATGAACCTGGCAAGAGGTTTGTTGATTGGTCTGTGTCGGAGAAAAATGCTTGCACGAGAATGCAACCCTGCATAGCTTATTCTTAAGCAGGTTTCACTATTCCTTCAAATCGGACGGTCATAAACCGAGGACAATTCAACTGAGAAGTATCTGATTTCAGAATCTTGAAGAGAACTAGCCTATTCGGCCTGACTGATTCGAACCTTGCAAGAGGTTTGTTGATCGGACTGTGCCGGAAAACATCCAAGATAAAGACAAACTTTATGATTGTTATGATACTCAATCTACACAACGACCCAAGATATGGAATAATACCGGTGCTGATCATTTGCAAATGGAACAATATTGGAGCGTGACGGACTTTTGGATAATCAATTTTTTTGATCAAATGGAATGTTCATGAACTACTGTTTGGATCATATTCCCGCTGGATCACAGGATTGAAGGGGAGAATGCAGAGATTGAACCTTCAGATGAACTTGAGACTGAGATGTCGGGGCAAGTGAAGGTTAGCCTGTAAACAATACAACAATATCACTTCTGATCTTAATGGAGCTCTGAAATTTACTGAGATGTGTCAAAGTTGGGTTTGAGTTAAGTTTAAAATATAAACTATAACATTTACACATTAGGCTTAATTAATATAAATGTAGTGTAAGGGCCTAATTTGAATCTGACCCTAACCCATCTCAGAAAATTTCGAGCTCTATATCAGGAAGATTGTTGCGTTGTAGAAAATCTATGAAGTGTCCAACTTTTCGAATTGGACACGTTTCGTATCGAATCCTCGCGGCTCGGCATGCCTCGTTGCCACTCGTCGCATTTCGTTGCGTTTCGTTTCGTTTTGTTGCGTCTTGTGACGTCTCTTCACGTAACGACAATTTTCCGGTGAGATATAGTATGGATTATTATTTTGTTGGTGAATATATGATAGATTATCGCCGTTATATTTGATTTAAGTTTAGTCTGTGATTGCTATATTAATTAGCTTGGTAAACTGTAGAAAAGATGATGATAACAATAATACTATTAATAATAATGATTATTGGACAAAGATCGCTCCTATCACATACGACAAAGAAGAAGAGAAGAAAATGAAGATAAGAAGAAAAGGAAGATGTGTCGTACAGATAAGTGTTGTATTGGTAGGCTTGCTTTACTAGAAATGTAGTTTGACAATTTTTTTGATTAGTATAGAATAGGAAAATACGACGAATATGAGGAGGACATGTACCTATAGTCTCATTAGCAATATTTATATTATCTTGCCAAGGCATTTGAATTAGATCTATCTGCATACATGTTGTATATTTATCTACCGATGTGATTAAAATTGCGACTAACATGAGAATATTAGGAAGATACGTTTAGATATATATGTAGATATAGGATTATCTATAACACCCTTAAATTTAAACTGCGAACATTCCATAAACCGATGTGATGAGAAAATAGAGATAATATGTGTTGTCAAACTCACTCAGTGCAGAACTCTCATCTCTCCTACCCTACATGCATAGCACTAGTTTCTTGTAACACATTATAAACTTTGACGAGTCACAAGCAAGTTTTTTTTCTTTTTTTCCCTTCTCACCAAGTATCATGTGATAATGAACATTAATAGACATCGGGATTGTCATTATCCTCATATTTCATTCGATTCAAGCTTTAGGCTTAGTACTAAGGATTTAATAAAGTAATAAGATGTATAGTTGATACATCGTATATGCGACAAAGTAGCTTGGATTCGCTCTCTTTTTGTCTTTCAGGTTTTCATTGCGGTGTACCTGCATACATCCATGACTTCTTTGATCTTGTCGACTTCGTTAAGCTATCGTACATAGACTACGTTCAGCCTCTTCACATCCCACCTTCATGGCACCGATGGGGGAAGTTGATCATATGACTAATTTACATAAATGTAGCGTAATGGTCTAATTTGATCTTGTCCTAACCCATCTCAGAAAATGTAGAGTTCCATATCAGGAGGACTTGCGTTCTAAAAATCAGGGGGGCAATTTGAATATTCCTTATTATTTGGATACACCATGTCACATCTCATCAAGTCTCATCTCATCAAGTCTCGTCACCTCTCGTCACCTCTCGTCGCGTTACGAATCTCTCTGTGGTAAGATATACTTACATCTTTATGGTAATATTCCCATGTTAACTAGCTTTTTATAATCAGTTAGACCTAATATTATCAAGATATGATTTAATATTGTAGCATTAATTTACATTATTCATTTGAATGAGAAATTTAAAAAAACGTGCTCTCATGTTTACAGTCAGTGTGGAAATCATTTCTCACCAAATACTGTAATAGAATTAATGGTCTTTTAGAGAATAAATGCATAGCAATCATAATTAGCAAGGCATTAATGACGTATTGGTAATATCCCCACATTAAAATATTCAAATCGTATCCTATATAGTAACTACATATCGATGTGATGAGAAATCGACAAAATGAATAAGAGAAGAAAGATAAGATGTTTTTAGAGATATGTGTCGTATTGGTACTCTCTTAGCATAGCAATTAAACTAGGTCTATTCATAAAAATATGAGAAAATACGACAAAGAAGAAGAGACTAAATAAAAGGTCTGTCTAGAGATACATGTCGTAACACTCATTGAAAGCAGGACTCACATCTATCACATACTTCATTCACTGCACTAGTTTCCTTTATCACCTATTCCTGGGCAAATCTTTAGTGATTTTGTGTTCCATGCTTTACCAAGTATTATGGAATTATGACCTTAAATTGGCATCAGAAGTGTCATTTACTCTATATCTCTTGTAATTCAAGCTTAAGAACTACGACTAGGGACTTAATGAAGTGATAAGATGTTTTGATAGATCTTGGATATGACAAAATAGCTTGGACTCGCTCTCTTCATGTCTTTCAGGTTCTACAATGCAGTATATTTACATGCATCCAGGACTTCATTCACCTCTACGAACAACCGCGTCGACTTCGTTCAGCTATTGTCCATCGACTGTGTTCACCTTCTTCACATCCCACATTCCACATTCACGGCACCAATGAGGAAGTCGATCATTTTCAAGATCTGGCCCACCACTCTGATATATGTGTACATCGTCAGCAACTCTGAAACGAGCTCAAAGATTAAGACTCAGTTTAATTATGCCATCTCCATTGTATCTATTTTGTTATTGTGTTTTCTTCATCTGTAAGTGGAACCTGATGCAATACCTCGGAAAATATACGTGTCATTGATCTACGTAGGCAAGTATTATCAGGTATGTATTCAAAAGTTTGTTTAAGATTTTATCATCTATTATATCAAGGCAGAATGAACACGAGTATAATTCTAATGACAAAGTTTACGTTGAAACAGGTGTTGTACTGTTACAAGGCACGTGCCAATTATAAGTCTCATAATACCATTCGATGTCTCATAATTACCATTCGACTGATATGAATGCATTATGAAGGGAGATGCACAACATTAAAGAGCCTCAGGAGAAGAAGAATCGTTAATAAATGGGTAATAAAACGGGGCAAATTGCATTGTGATTATGAAATGCAAAGAAATATTTTTTAAAGGATGAATGCAAACAAAAAGAAGAAAATTATTCACTCGAATTATTGTGAAGACAAATATTTATTCAATATATGATGCGATTTTGGCAAGAGTTCTCATTGTACAGGTAAAAGAAAGGAGAGGGGACGAAGATCACTGATTTGACTACGCCACACGATGACGACCACGGTAATGACTACGGTGACAGCGAGGGTGACATAGGAGCAGCAGTGGATAGGCTTCGTGTTTCTGCAAGCGTTCAGTAAGATGTGTTCATTTTAGATAACTACATAAACCCAATACATCATTTTCAGTAATTTTATTTCAGTTAGGTAAATTCCACACTCGTCGAGATAGAATTAGATTATTGTTGATAGGACAACATATGATTTGAGATGGAATATCCAAATGTTTGAAATCTAGGATGTAGTTTAGTATCTATTAAATCAAAGCGGAATGAAAACCGAGTATATATTTCTCGTGATATAAACATTTTTGAAACAGATATTGTACTGCAACAACCCACGTGATAATTCTATTTTGCAATAGTATACTTCGACAGGAATGCATAAGTTATAATATGTACAACACTCAAGGGTTACGAGAGGAAAAAAATATAAGCGAATGAATTTTAAAACGGGGCAATGTATCTACATTTTTACGAAATGGCGATTAGGTATGACTATCAGAAGGGTGGTGTCTATGATGATAACTACGATGACGACCATGCACAATTCACTTGAATTATTGAAATTAATTTACTTCATATTTGACTTGAAGAATGGCATAGATGCAGCCTTGATGGCGTGCCTTTCCATTCTCCTCTCCCCTTGTATCTAACCAAATAACTCTATCCAAGATTGGCATCATGTCATCCTCTTTCTGTAATATCTGGTCTTGCCTGTTATTTATACTAGAGTATAGAGTCTTCTAATTTGTATTGCAGCACAAAGAAGGTAACGATGGTGACTACCATGATGAAGACCAGAGCAACATCCAGGGTGCAAACGACTACTCGAGTGATGGCAAGTATGAAAACGACCGGAGTGACGAATAGGATGATGACCAGGTTAAATACAGTTCGAAGATAGGCATGAAGTGCAGTTATGACGTCATCATCTTCAAGTTGTTGTTGTTGACATTTTGAAATTTCCTTTGAAATTTCCTTTGAAATTTCCTTGTCTTGCCCGTCATTTATACAGGAATGTAACATTTTCTATTCTTTTACAATACAAAAATGGAAAAAGAACGACTTCCAGGGTGACGCAAATGAAGGCGACTACCAGGGTAACGATGAGAAGGGAGACCACCAGGGTGACGACGAGCAGGGTGACGGCGGTTAGGATGACTACCAGGGTGACGGCGAGAACGATGACTAACGGGGTGACGGCGGGTAGGGTTACTACCAGGGTGACGGCGAGAAGGATGAAAACCAGGGTGACAGCGAGAAGGATGACTACCAGGATGACGGCGAGTAGGGTTACTTTCAGGTTGATGGCGAGAAGGATGACTACAAGGATGACGGCGGGTAGGGTTACTTTCAGGTTGATGGCGAGAAGGATGACTACCAGGGTGACAGCGGGTAGGGTTACTTTCAGGTTGATAGCGAGAAGGATGACCATCAGGGTGACGGCAGGCAGGGTTACTTTCAGGTTGATGGCGAGAAGGATGACTAACAGGGTGACGGCGGGTAGCGTTACTTTCAGGTTGATGGCGAGAAGGATGACTACCAGGGTGACAGCGGGTAGGGTTACTTTCAGGTTGATGGCGAGAAGGATGACTACTAGGGTGACGGCGGGT